GCACGTTTTGGCAAATTCATAACGTCATGGAGGGCAGTGGAAAATCTAAAACGAGTTGTATACTTCAGCTTGGTGTATTGCTGAATTTAGCCCTGACAATACTGTCTGTGGGGTATTTGACTTACAGAGTGCATACTTTGGATGAACGAATCGTTCGATGTGAGCAAATCAAGAAAACAGAGTCAGACGATGACGTACATAAAAATCGCTTGCCAAGAGCGGCTAACAATGGCTCGAGAGATCCAACGAGTGCTTGTACCAAATGCAGAGATCTCTGTATGCAAATMTTCTCGTCTAGATCATCCAAAAAGGTATACGCAATTCTGCATTGTCATTATGCCTTTTAATGAACAAATACGAGATTTCACGAAACTTTTAGATGCAATGTAAACGATCTTTTCGTTCTTGTACTGTGCAAAACAATTCGTCATTTTCAAGAACAAAATATTCTGTCAAGCCTTTTGATATATTGATTCTCAACATGGACCAAGAAGCAAACAGCAACACAATTTCTGTGAAATAAAGAAACTTTTACTATAAAGTTTATAACGACAAAAATAACAAAAAGACCTCCATCTGTTCTTGTCACCAAAGAAGGCGATAATGTGGTCATTCCGTCCAAAGCCTCTGGTTTTCCTATTCCTAGAATCTCGTGGTACAAAGACAACAAGAAAGTAGACGAGCGATTCTATGCAACTGGTGCTCTACGAATAAGCAATGTCAAGTTTGAAGACCATGGGGTTTACTTATTGAAAGCAAAGAATTTCATTGGTCAAGCAACAGCGAAAATGAAAATTGTTGTAAATGGTAAAGTCAAAACGAAAATATATGATATTTGCTCACGCAATGAGAATTTTTCAATTTGCTGACTGAGTTCAATTCAGTTGCTGAGAACTCTGTACAGCTTATTTACACGCATATAAAGGGATGTTTTAGAAAAGGTTTTTTCATTCGGGATCTTTCTTCTTCTCAAAACATTATTGATAAAAACTGAACTATAACGATTCTGATGGAGCAAGGTGATGCTAATGTGATTGTGGACGCCCCTACTATTTGTGTGCAATTTTTAATATAACATTTCTCTTTAAATTAGCTGCTCCACGGTTCGTGGAGATGCCTCCAGTATACCTCAATGGTTACGAAGACTGGAACACAACCATCACATGCAATATTTTTGGGTTTCCTGCTCCGCGTATCAAATGGAAACGAGCAGTGAAATCTATGTCTAAAGAACGTCATATAATAACCGGCAACAGTCTTGTGATTATGAATACAAGAAAAGATGACAAGGGCCCTTATATGTGCAAAGGAATTAACGATCATGGTAACGTGTTGTCCATTGTGGTGCTGACTGTACATCCTGTCAGTAAGTATTGAATGGATGTAGAAATACATGAATAGATGAATTGATTGCTTGATTAATGGGCTAATTTTTAGAGAACCGACTTGTTTCAAATAACACACAACTTCAGAGAGAGCAAAAGATATGTTTAAGCCACGAAAAATTCTTTGCGAATTTGTGTCCAACACGTATCTTCTCCCTCTTTAATGATTTATCCTACGTACACTCAATACCGTTAATTATCTAACACATACCTTCATTAATATATTCCTGAAAAGATCAAAAGTTGTGCTAAGGTGTTTTCAAATGTTTGTTCAAGCATGGACATATTTGTTATATTTCTAGTTGCTCCAGCCATCGTACAATCCTCTCCTAATAACGTGACCGTGTACAAAATCTTGAGCCGCGTCAAATTAAACTGTTCGGCTACTGGATCACCGCTGCCAACGATCGAGTGGAGCAAAGATGGCCGACCTTTATCTKTAARCACTACAGTTCRCCAGACCAATAAAGAAACTATAGGCGAGTTGGTCATTGATTCGTTCATGTCTCAAGACCAAGGACGTTACAAATGTTTTTTTAGAAACTACGAGAATGGAACGGCTGAAGCTACAATACAAGTCTGTAAGTCCAAGAACTGAAGAAACCCATCATGATGCAGCATTAATTGCTACACAATAGTTTTATATCCACTAATCAATTATGCCATCACTTAATAAGGAATAAAATTCATTCACAATCAGTTTGAACGTTTAAACTGAAAGAAGCTAAAAGAACGAAAGATTGAAAAGCATTCCCTAGGGTTCCCATCCAATATCATATGTATATAT